ACACTACTATTGGTGGTACGACATGAAACGAGAAGTGGCCGAATATGTGGCAATTTGTGACACCTACCAAAGAATCAAGGTGGAACATCAAAGACCAACAGGGTTGCTACAACCATTAAAGATTCTAGAGTGGAAATGGGAAGAAATAAGTATGAATTTCATAGTTGGCTTACCTTTTCACGCAGTCTGGATTTGATTCAATATGGGTCATAGTGGATCATTTGACAAAGGTTGCTCATTTCATTCCAGTCAAGGTGTCATACCGAGGAGCACGACTTGCAAAGTTGTACATGTCCCGAATTGTGTGTTTACATGGAATGCCCAAGATCATAGTGTCATACAGAGGTACACAATTCACATCTCGATTCTAAAAACGATTGCATGAGTCTATGGACACTCGATTGAATTTTAGCTCAGCATATCACCCACAAATGGATGGTCAAACAGAAAGGGTAAATCAAATTTTGGAAGACATGTTAAGAGCTTGTGCCCTCCAGAACATCCAAAGTTGGGATAAACACCTACCCTATGTAGAATTCTCCTACAACAATAGCTATCAAGCAAGACTCAAGATGGCACCTTTTGAAGCTTTGTATGGCAAGAAGTGCAAAACTCCTTTGTTTTGGAACCAAGTCGGGGAAAGAAGGGTATTTGGTCCCGATGTTGTAAATGAAGCTGAAGAACAAGTGAGAGAAATCTGAAACAATATAAAGACGGCTCAATCCAGGCAAAAAAGCTATGCAGATAAAAGAAGACGAGAGTTGGTCTTTGAAGTTGGAGATTTTGTATATCTCAAGGTGTCACCATTCAAAGGTCTCAGAAGATTCAATGTCAAAGGGAAGCTTGCACCAAGGTAACATTGGACCTTTCAAGGTGATTGACAAGAAAGGAGTGGTAGCCTATCAGCTAGAGTTACCTTCACAGCTTTCAGCAATACATGATGTGTTCCATGTCTCACAACTAAAGAAGTGTTTGAGGGTCCCTGAGGAACAACTACCACTTGAGGATATGAATCTAAGAGAGGATTTATCTTTCTCAGAGCCTGTCAAAATTCAGGATACATCAGAACGAGGCACTCGGAATAAAAGGTTTAAGGTGTGCAAAGTGCAATGTAAGCATTATTCAGATGAAGAAGCCACTTGGGAAAAAGAAGATAATCTAAAGGCAGAGTTTCGTCATCACTTCGACAATCTTTCCTAATCTCGAGGACGAGATTCTTCTTAAGGGGTAGGTTTGTAACACCCTAAATTTTGAATTTTATAATTTTCTAAATTTGTTAGAAATTAAATTAGAATTATGGACAAATAATAGTGGAGGAAAAAAATATTTTATTAATTAAATTTTATTTATGTTGCATTAATTTTTTTGAGTTGAAAATAAATTTGCAAAGGTTAAACAAAGGAAATAGAAAAAGAAAAAGAAGGGGGCCACCCTCGGCCCATGCCTCCCCCTTATCCCACCTTTCCCTTCCCTCGGCCCGCTTTGTTTCCCTCCCTGGGTCGCCTTTCCCTCGCCCTCTCCCTTCCTAGGCCAGTGGCCCGAGCAGCAAGCCCACTAGGTTGACCCACCACCCATGCCCACGCGCATCCCCCTCTCCCTACCGCTGTCAAGCAGGCCCCGCATGTCTGCTCCTTCTTCCCCCTCTGCCGTCTTCCTCGTGCCATCGCCACCCGCCCTTGCCACGTGACCGTGCCTCCATGCCCGCACTTGACCTGGCCCTGCTGAGCCCCACTCTGGCATCTCCCGCCTCCTTCATGCCACGTAGACCATGCCACGCTCCTTCCTCTCCTCGCCTTTCCCCCGGCTCGGTCAGCCCGCACCACCGCCATGGACGGCATGCACCGAGCTCCCTCCACCGCCCGTTTCTCCCTTCCCTGCTCTATAAAGCCACCCGAGGCGTGCCCCGGACCCGCACCATCATGCCACCGCTGCTCTTGCCCTCCCCAAGCCCCCTCTGTCTCTCCAACGCACCCCTTACCTTCGCCGAAGTTTCGCTCTGCCGCCAACCGACCTCTCCACGCGGATTTCCCCTCTCCGAGCCGAATCCGGCGACGAGAACCCCACCACCAAGTCCGCGGTGAGCTCCTATCTCTGTTACACCCTTTTCCAACACCCCCTGTGGCCTCTAGCGCTGAGCCGAGCTCACGTCAATGAGCCCCCACCGCGCCGTCGTGAAGATTCCCCTCTGGCGCCTTTTAAAACGGCAGCGTGCCCCTGGCCGTCCATACGTAGACAACGGTCTAGATTAGAACCTGCATACCCCTTTGTTTCGTGTGCACGGTCCATGGTGGACCCATGGCTCACCCTCCCACCCCCGCCGGTCCATGGGCCGTGGACCTAGCCCACAACACAGTCAACCGATCGGCCGTGCCGTTTTTGCAAAAGAGCAATCCACTTTTTACAAAATAAACCCACAGTCCTAAAGCACTGTGCTATGAGTCTCAATTTTCTTTCAATCTAGCCCTGAGTTTCAGGATAATTGAGCCCCAGTCCGTGGCCCTTTTCTTTTTCGGTTTTGATTTATTTTAAATACAAAAATGAGTTTAGTTTAATTACAGAATTGCCACTCACTTCAAAAGCTCATATCTTGCAAACCGTAGCTCCAATTTAGGTGGTTCTTTCGCTCACGAGTTCATATCGACGAGTACTACGCGTTAGTAAATTGTATAGCGTGTTTGGTGTACTGTTCTTATTATGTTTTATGGACCATGTTTGTTGCTTGTCAGCAGAAGGTGCTGAGTGCGAGAACTTCCAGGATCAGGAGTTCGATATCCTGAACCAAACCTAGCTTGAAGGCAAGTGTCCTTGACCATACTTGCACCTACATTTGATTTACTTTTGAGTTAGTTTAGTTAGACCATTAGATGCATGCAGAGTCAAAAATTGAATCCTATGATTAGGTTTACTAGCTTTTGTCATATTATCCTTGTAACCAGGTTTGGATGGGTAGAAGTCAATGCTTAGTTTGCAGTCTTGGGCTAGGAAGCTTATAATTTTAATATTGACTAATGATCTATGCAACATGTGGATTCGTTATCTTTTAGCAACATGGTGACTAGGGAATCTGAGCAGGATGGATGGTCTGGTATGATAGTTATTTGGTTTTGATAAGTACTGAGGTTCCTTGGGTTGGTGCTCGTTACCTGCTCTAGATTCTAAGGACCGGTTCATGGACAAGTAACCTGGCAAAACAGCGCAACCATGAGGCTGGAATGGGCTGGACCTGGCTAATTAATTAGTTTCTCCAAGTTTTGCTTTACATCGGGACGGTTTATGTGGCTCAAGAGGGGTCCCTTGGGGTCTTGGACTTATGTACAGGGGAGAAACCTTAGAGGAGGTGTAAAACAGGCTTGTAGGGGCTTTGTAAAGGCCTTGTAGTGTGACCCCGCTAGGCACCTAGGTAGTGTTTAGTGTAATGGGGGAAAAACATGACTCATGGTGAAAGTGTGCAACCTCTGCAGAGTGTAAAATTGATATATCAGCCGTGCTCACAGTCAAGAGCGGGCTTGGACTTCTTCGTGATTAGATGGCTCTGGTTCAGTGGGTGGTTCTCTTGTTAAGGGAATGGTGGTTCAGTTGGGAGGCTTGGATGGAATCCAAGTGTTGGTTAGCTCGGATGGGATCCGAGTGTTGGTTCAGTTTTTTTGAGGAGCTGAGGTTTCACTTAGCAAATAGGTGCTAAGGAAACTAAGGTAATAGGTGTGTTGCTTAGGTGCTGGTGTCAAACAAAGTTAGCATATCCTTTGTTATAGCCTCATGTCATATTTTCCTACACTTGCTCTGGTGTCACACATTTCGATGTACTCACCCTTCCTCTTTGTCCCCCTGCTACCCCACCCAGACGTTGGAGACGATGAGGAGGAGTATGTCGAAGACGGTGCCTTCGACCCCGATGACGTGTTCTAGGCTGGTGCTACCCCCGGTCAACCTTCCTGTGAAGATGACGTCCATTTCCGCTGGAAGATTAATAGATTTTCTTTTAGACCCACGGGTCAATTTTGTAATAATGTTTCATTATGTAAGCAACTCTGATTTTGATACTATAATGAAGTCGATATATGTATGAAAATTGATCCTGGCATACATATATTGTGCATTCGATTTTGTCCTTAAAATCGGGTGTGACATAGATCTATACCGACACTACTTTCAGAGACTCCAAGTAAGTGTCGGCATAGATCTATACTGACCGATGGTGCATCGCTATATCAACGTATACCGACCAATGGAACGTTGCTATTCTAGGGCTGTGGTGTAGTGAACTTTGGCACCCTTAAGAAGCTCTACGTCCTAAGACAACCACCTTTGTATTCATTAATAGAGGCGGTTTATTTAGGATGCCCATCTCAATTAATTGGGACCTGTCTTCTAAACTCTTTTTTAGGCACCTCCGCTCTCCACCATGACCACTCAACCCTAATATCATCAGAGATCATCGCACCCCTATACATGACAAACCTCCATCCTCTGCCGCTCCAATTGGCAGTGGCCTCCTCACCCACACCCCTACCTTCATCCTATCGTCCTCACTATGCTATCCTTTTGTATGTACTTACATGAATCTTTTTTAAACATTTAGACACCTCAAGCAACGATTTCAAGTGTAGTTTCCAAAACACACTGAAAGTTAACTAGGTGCAATCAACTTTATTGGAGTGGCTGGGAGTGGCCGCCGGAGCTGTGGCGTACTGGCGTGCTTGGGGAGACCGCGACGAGGATACACACGTAGGCGCGATCTCCTTCTTTAGAAACTGTTAGAGAAATCCTTGTTGGTTAATCATCCTTTTATTTTTGGCGACCTAGAAAACTAAAGGATTTTTTTTAGATGAACTCAAGGATTTTTTTTTTGTATACTTTCGGTGACGCTCTAATTTGAATCGAACATGGCCTCGATCAAACCATGGATATTTGGGAACTCAAATAGACCAACATGCACCTGATCAGATCGAACCACCACCAGCAAATCAATCTAGCTAGCTATTTTGTTCGGTACAACAACGATGGAACTCGCCGCTGCAGGTGCTCCACATCTCGCCGTCGTCGCCAACTACGGCGCGCTACCCACGTACGTGCTGCACGACATCCAGCTCCGCCTCCCCGCCGACAAGGTGTGCCGCCTCCGGCTGGTGTGCCGGTCATGGCGGTCGCTGACGTCCGACCCGCTCTTCGCAGCGGCGCACGCCTCGCGCCACCCGCACGTCATCGTCGTCAGTCACCACGTGGGCAACCACGACGAGGCCGAGGTCCGCGCCGTGGACCTGCACGACAACGTCATCAAGCGGAGGCGGATCCGACTTCCAGCGAACAGACACGCCCTTGGCCGCCTGAGCGTGCACGGCGACCTGCTCTGCGCCTCACACGGCTGTGGGCTGGCCTGCGTGGTCGACATGGTCACCGGCGCTGTCGTCGCGGACGTGGACTCCGAGCACCAGAGGAAGGTGAACACGACGAAGCCCCAGTGCTTCATCGGGCACGTCCCGTCCACCGCAGAGTACAAGGTGCTCCGCATCCAAGTGGATTATTCTAGTGTCACGTGCGATGTCGTGACACTGGGCGGCGGTGGCGGTGGTACCTTAAGGTGGAGACGGCGACCCCAGCCTCCGGTCAGTCTCAGCATCGAGCCCTCGTCCGGCTTGGGGGACATGGCGGTTGTCGCCGGGTTCGCCTACTTCCTGGTGCTCCCGGGCCCGCAAGACGAACTCAGCGTCATTTCCCAAGATAGCATAGCGGTGTTCGACCTGCTGACGGAGGAGTGGAAGCCGGAGACGCTGCAGGGGCCACTGAGCAGTCGAGGAAGAAGCAAGGACGACGAGGAGGAAGACGACGAGCCCATGCCCGTTCTTTTTCGTAGGAGATGCCTTCTTCGTAGGAAACGCTTTCAGCTGGCCAGGTTGGGCGAGAACTTGGTGACGCTCTACTGCAACGTCTAGGACTGCTTGACGGAGCTCTGGTTCCTGGAAGACATGGAGGACGACGGCACGGCGGCGCGCTGGAGCAGACGGTACACGTTGCAGCGCACGCCGCCGTTCAGGGAGGATGAGTTCTTCTTCTCGTCCCTGCAGTACCATTATCCGCTGGCGGTTCTGGACGACGGGAAGATACTCGTGTGGGTGGGCAGGACATCCGCATTGAGAGCATACGATCCTGAAACAAATGCATGGACGGAATTGGCCACGCTGACACAAGGCCGCGTTGTTGGCATGCAGCGTGGAAGCCTTCTGTGCTCAAATCTTGGGGCGGCCTAGCCTTGAGCTTGTTTGTTTGAGCCTTGAGGTGGATACTACGTTCAGTTCAGGTTCAGCGATGAAACTGTCTCCGCTGATTATTTGTATTTTTCATTACTTGTCCATCGACAACGTCTCTTTAGACAACCAAAACAAACTCAAACGTTTTGTTTGTCATCAATCAAAACGTCGTATATTAATTACTAGACTAGAGGCAGACATTAACATTATACTGTAATCATTTTTCAGAGTCCCCACCGGTTATAAGATTTATTATTAACAAAAACAAATGATCTCGGTGCCCTTCAAAAGCATGTCGTATAGGACATGATTTGATCAAATCTTAAAAACTATATAAACCTCTACATGATTCACTTTCAGAACATGTAAGATATATATATGTGTACATCTGTATTGAAAAGTACCGGCAAGATCTCACAAATTTGGAAGCTTCTAAGAATACATTACAGAAGATATATATCCGTAGTAAAAGAAAGCGTTACAAAATAAAATGTGACCAGTATTTATGACTGGAGGGATTTATTCATGTATGTATGTGAGCAGTGTCATCGGAGTACTGTACTAAGCAGGTGTAGAAGGAAGAAAGCAATAAAAGATATACATAATAAACTTCTAATAGAAAAGTTAAAACAAGCCTAGAACGATCGACCCACATTTCGACTCGACTTGGGAGGAGACATAAGATGTATGTGTAAGCTTTCATCAATACAATTACTTACCAAACAGGAGACAGCGCATGCTTGAGGTGGTGAACATGCTAGATGGAAGAAATTCACCTGACAAGTTTGTTGGCCCCTGGATCTCCGGTATGGAGATATTCGACCACTCACTAGTGTTGCTGAGCAGACACTAGCGATGCCGACCACGAATTGTCGTTGCCGACCACACACTATGGCTAGAGGTAGAAGAAGAAGAAATGGAGAACAGAGCATACACACACAGCAGAGACACTCGCTGCTATACCGGCGGAGTACAGGGAGCCGTTGGGGGCGAAGAGCTCTGCTAAGGAGGCGTGGGAGCCTATTGCGACGATGCGCGTCGGTTCCTACCACGCAAAGAAGGCGACGAACCAGCTTCTGAAGCAGGAGTACGCCAACCTCAAGTTCAAGGATGGTGAAACAGTGGAGGATTTCTCCCTCCGCCTGCAGACGCTCATCAGTAAGCTGAAGAGCCACGGCATCACCATCGACAAAGAGGAGGCGGTCTCGAAGTACCTCCACTCCGTGCCGGCAAAGTACATCCAGATCGCTCTCTCCATAAAGACGATGCTGGACTTGTCCATTCTCACCATTGAGGATGTGACAGGCCGTCTGCGGGCGGTGGACGAGTGCCTGGAGCAGGCGACAACAACGAAGGATAGCGGCAAACTGCTACTGACAGAGGAGGAGTGGGCTGCTCGGAGGAACTCCGAGGTGGGCTCCTCCAGCCGCGGTGGCGATGGCAAGCGCTGCGGCAAGGCTTCTTCAGAGAAGAAGAAGCGGGTCGACCCCAACGCCTACCGGCGCTGCGGGAAGACGGGTCATTGGGCACGGGAGTGCCCAAATCGCAAGCAGAAGAAGAAGGCTGAGGCTCATCTGGCGCAAGCTGATGATGATGATGAGGCCACTATCCTGATAGCGACGTTCTGTGCACTGCACGATGTCAAGGCCGAGGAGAAGGGAAAGGTGACGAAGGTGAAAGGACCTGGGAAGGCCCTGAAAGCTGTCAACCTCGACGAACCGCACGCCTAAGTCCACCTCGGACGTGTGGATGGCGAGCAGGATCAGCACTGGTATCTGGACTCTGGTGCCAGCAACCACATGACGGGCTCCAAGGCAACCTTCTCTGAGCTCGACGACGATGACGATGTGACCAGTACGGTGAAGTTCGGTGACGGCTCACGGGTGGCAATCCAAGGGCGCGGCAGCATCATCTTCAGGTGTCAGAACGAGGAGCACCGTGCGCTAACGGATGTATATTACATCCCGCAGCTGCGTTCAAGCATCATCAGCATTGGTCAACTGGATGAGCGCGGTAGCGAGGTACTGATCAAGGATGAAGTTCTCAGGATCAGGGACCGGGAGCAGCGACTTCTTACCAAGGTGAAGAGGTCCCTGAACCAGTTGTACTTGCTCGACCTGAAGGTAGAGCAACCGGTGTGCCTGGCGGAAAGGCACACCGAGGAACCGTGGCTGTGGCATGCCCGATTCGGACATCTTAGCTTCGACGTGCTTGGTCGACTGGAGAAGATGATTCGAGGGCTACCCCACATCGAGCACGAAGGCGAGCTATGTGATAGCTGCCTGCCCGGGAAGCAGAGAAGGCTGTCATTCCCAAAGGCGACCAAGTATCGCGCGATGGACGCTCTCGAGCTCGTCCATGGTGACCTCTGCGGGCCAATCACGCCAGCCACAAACGATGGTCGGCGGTTCTTCCTCCTGCTCGTGGATGATTGCAGTCGCTACATGTGGCTGCAACTCCTAACGAGCAAGGACGAAGCGGCGGCGGCGATCAAGAAGTTCAAGATGCGCGAGGAGGCCGAGAGCGACAAGAAGCTCTGCGTGCTGAGGACTGATCGAGGCGGCAAATTCACTTCGGTGGAGTTCGCTGCGTACTGCGTGGATCAAGGTGTGGTGCGCCACCACACCGCGCCATACTCACCACAACAGAATGGTGTGGTGGAGCGACGGAACCAGACGGTGGTCGGCATGGCTCGATCCATGATGAAGGCCAAAGGCATGCCGGCAAGGTTCTGGGGTGAGGCGGTGACCACGGCGGTGTTCATTCTCAACCGCGCTCCCACCAAGGCCCTGAAGGGCAAGACGCCGTTCGAGGCTTGACATGGACGCAAGCCGAGCGTGTCCTTCCTCCCAGGGGCGAAGCCACATTGACCCACCCTGGTGCACAGACACCAGGGTAAAAAAATGTTTTACGAGCTACTAGGCCGTGTCCCAACTTTTGTGCACCACCCTGCGCCAACCGTGTGCACCAGGCACCTAACTCGGCCTTCTCGCAAGGGCACGACTTATCCAGCACTTCATTAGTTAGGGCGTGATTGGTAGCCCTGATGGAGCCGTCCAAAGCGCCATCCCGCACCATGTCATGCACTATCTCTGTGTTTGGTTGCCTGTACCGAACGAAATCGATGCACCGGACCATGCATTTGAGCCCCCTGGTGCAGGCTCGCATCGTACGCAGAAATCGGACTTCCCATACGAGCCGGGATGGTGTGGTGCGACGCATGGCCAGGGACCCATGTGTCATACACTCAAAACTCACATCCTTGCATGCAACCAAACATGATCTCATCTCGTACTGGACCAACAATAAAGACAACCAAACACGACTGAGTGCATGGTTTGAGCATGCATCTCACCATCCTAGACCGGCTCTCCGTCCCGATCCCTCTCACCAAAGCAACTAATCACGCTCTTAGTGGAGCTCCATGCTAGCATAGCACTGGCTTTCGGGCACTAGCTATTCGAAAACAACCTAAACTATTATTACTTGATTACATGGTCTGCGACGTCAAAGCTCAGATCTATTTCTAGTTGTTTTTTTATTAAACTTGAAAAGAAGCTCAGATCTGTTGATAGCTTTGTACGGTATGGAATAAGATGCTTTCGCATTTATACAAACCTACAGGACAAAAAAAAACGAAAGGACACAAGTGGTGAACAATTCTGACCCAAACCTTGAAAATTGAGATGTGCAAATATACAAATACTGCTTGACTAAATTGAATCTAAGGGCCTGTTCGGCTGGTATTAAAGCTGGCTGATAAGCCGGCTCAAGCTGTTTTGTTGTGAGAGAAAAATACTATAGTATTTTCTCTCTCTTATTTCTTCTATAACACAACACGACTATTCATTATATCGTTTATGCTTAGTTTACCAAAAATATTTGGCCTACCAATCCAATAAAGACCAGCTATTGGATGTCATTGAAAAATACGGTCCAAAAAACAATATTGTTTCATATTTGGTAAAGATTCATTGAAATTTTGTTAAAATTTAAATTGGATAGAATTAGGAAAAATTCAAAATTTATCTAGCAACACGAGATAATGTATGTTTAGTAGTGCACCAGGGTTGACTGAGCGCTAGCTTCGCCCCTACTTCCTCCGGATATTCGACTGCATCGGCCACGTCAGGAAGACGAAGCCGATCCTCACCAAGCTGGAGGACAGGAGCACACCGATGGTGCTCCTAGGCTACGCGGAGGGTACCAAGGCGTACCGACTCTACGACCCACGCGGAGACAAGGTACTTGTCTTGCGCGACGTCGTGTTCGACGAGAAGACGGCCTGGAACTGGAACAGTCCGAGTACGGGGGAAGCTGACGGCTTCACCAGCACCTTCGTCGTCAAGCACTTGGTCCTCCACGGTGGTGAAGACGCTGGGGAAGAGGTGCCGAGCACTCCGGGAAGGGTGCCGAGCACTCCAGCAATAGAGCCGAGCACTCCTGGGGAGGTGCCGAGCACTCCGGGAAGGGTGCCGAGGACTCCAGGAGTGGAGCCAGAAGGTCCTACAGTGGTATCGACCACTCCAGGACGGGTGCCGCGCACTCCCGCAGCGGAGCCGAGCAGTCTTGCAGTGGTGCCGACCACTACAAGACTGGTGCTGAGCACTCCGGGAGGGGTGCAGACCACTCCAGAAGTGGTGATGAGCACTGCATCTAGGGTGACGAGCACTACAGGTGCTGTACCGAGCACTCTGGCGGAACAGGAAACTCCATCGACGTCGATCGAGTTCGCCTCACCTCCAAGTGACATCACTGAGTTCGTGGATGCCTTCCACGAAGGTGAGAAGGTGCGGTTCCGCGGGCTGGATGACATCGTCGGTGATACAGGGCCCTCAGGCCTGGCGGGTCGGCTGCTCAATAACCAAGAGTTGCTGCTCGTCGGTATAGAGGAACCACCCACGTTCGCGCTGGCCGAGTGCGATGGAAATTGGCGACGGGCGATGCGGAGGAGATGAAGGCGATCGAGGAAAATGAGACTTGGGAGCTCGTCGATCCACCTCCAGGATGTCGTCCGATCAGCATAAAGTGGGTGTACAAGGTCAAGCGGGACGAGCACGGCACCATTGTCAAGCACAAGGCGCGCCTGGTCTCCCGAGACTTTGTTCAGCGCGAGGGCATCGACTTCGAGAAAGTCTTTGCGCCAGTAGCGCGCATGGAGTCTGTCCGTTTGCTACTATCCTTGACAGCAGCAAAGGACTGACGCGTCCATCAGCTGGACGTAAAGTCGGCCTTCCTCAATGGCGAGCTGGCGAAGACGGTCTTCGTCAGGTAACCTCCGGGTTTCGCCGTCAAGGGAGCGGAGCACAAGGTGCTCCGACTGCGCAAGGCGCTCTACGGGCTACGGCAGGTCCCACGAGCGTGGAACGCCAAGCTTGACGCCACGCTGGGGGAGCTTGGGTTCACGAGGTGCGTAACCGAGCACGCGCTCTACATGCGGCGACAGGGGAAGGAGGAACTCGTTGTCGGCGTGTATGTGGACGATTTGATCGTCACTGGCGCGTGTGCAGAGGACATCAACAGCTTTAAGCGCGAGATGGCGGCTCGTTTTCGAATGAGCGATCTCGGCGCACTCTCCTACTACCTCGCGTCGAGGTGAGATAGGGGAAGGAGGCACTCACGCTCGGTCAGAGCGCATACGCCTCTAAGTTGTTGGAGCAGAGCGGTATGGCTGAGTGCAAACCATGCGTGACTCTGATGGAGGAGCGGCTGAAGCTGACGAAGGCCAGTACTGCGGTGAAGGTGGATGCAACACTCTACCGGAGCATCATCGGCGGTCTGCGCTGCCTAGTCCACACGAGGCCGGACATTGCGTTCGCCGTGGGCTACGTCAGTCGTTTTATGGAGGATCCTCGAGAGGATCACTGGGCTGCAGTGAAGCGGCTGTTGCGTTATGTCAAGGAGACGGTGGATCAAGGGATCGTCTTCCCCAAGACCGGCAGAAGCAGGCTGCAGCTCACTGTGTTCAGCGATGCAGACGGCGGAGCACCTCTGGCGTGCTCATCTTCCTCAGGTCGGCTCTAATTTCATGGCTGTCGCTGAAACAGAAGGTGGTGGCGCTATCTACATGCGAGGCAAAGTACGTAGCGGCGGCCACAGCGGCGTGCCAAGTTGTGTGGTTGCGCCGGCTGCTGGGCGAGCTGACCGGTGCGGAAGCTCACCCACCAGCACTGATGGTGGATAACCAGCCCGCCATCGTCCTCGCGAAGAATCCGGTTCTCCACGACCGGAGCAAGCACATCGACGTGAAGTTCCACTTCCTCAAGGACTGTGTCGATGGAGGGCAGATCGTCATCGAGTTCGTCGAAACTGGTCGGCAACTCACGGACGTCCTCACCAAGCCGTTCGGCCGTCTTCGACTCACAGAGCTGAAGAAGATGATTGGCATAGAGGGGATTCAAGGACTAGATGGATAGAGTTGTATAAATAGTTTGCCACTGCAACTCAGTAAAGAGAGAGTTCAGATTTGTCATCTCCTATACAGAGCTCCGGCCAACGCTGGTATCTCTGCTGTGTGTGTATGCTCTGTTCTCCCTCCCTTCTTCTACCTATAGTCATAGTGTGTGGTCGACATCGCTAGTGTCTGCTCGGCAACACTAGTGAGTGGTCGAATATCTCGATACCGAAGATCCAGGGGCCAACAAAGTTCAGGTACAAAAGGAATTCCATTTTCCTCAGAGCTGCTGAAAGTGCAGTAGTATGAGCTGCTGAAATGCCAGATATAGACAATGATCGGAGATAAATCATATTGTTCAAGGGGCAGTTCTTTTCATCCCACGAACTACAAGGCACCACACCGTTGAGTGTCATCAAATTATTCAGGGGAACTGAACAATTGGGCAAAAGCAATTTCTCAGCAAGCACATGCCGTAGTGCTTCGATGTCCCAAAACTCATCGACAGGTTTCCCCACATTTGTTTTCCTTACGTCCAACGTCTGGAGATTGCCAAGCTTATAGATGGATAAGGGAAGTTCCTCCAAGTTGCTGTTCCTAATGCCAAGGTACCTCAAGTGGATTATGCTGCCGATCTCATCTGGCAGCTTTTGCGTCTTAAGACGTTTAGGTCAACAACTCGTAGGAATCGGGAGCCCTGTAAGAAGTGGAGTCCGTGCAATGTGTTTGAGCCAACATTCTCTGAAATGCCACAGGCTCTTGAGCACAACTCTGCAAGATTGCCCCATAATGAATGAGGTTGCAGCTCTCCAGAGATTGAGCTACTGTGTTGGTCTTCTGCAAAATCACAGAGAAGAGAACGCAGCTTGGGGAACACATTAGGTATGTGCACATATGCATCAACATAGTTTTGTATGGCAAGGCGCCGCACTGCATTTGGATTTACAACATTAGCATGATGGTGGATTTCAAGGAAACTAGAGTCCTGTGCTTCAGACTCCACAAAAGTATGGAGCAGATTGTGAATGGCTACCAGCTTGATGGATCCACCAGCATCCTTCTCCATGACCTGCTGGACTAACCCTCTTGAGACCAATTCTTTATTTCTTTTAGATAGTCAAAACCAACATCCTCCAGTGTTTCTGCCTTCTTTGGCATAACAAAACCTTCAGCAATCCACAGACGCACCAAACGATCTGTGTAAAGAATGACATTTTCTGAAACAGATGCAAAGTATAGGAAACATGACTTAACGTAGTGTGGCAAGTCATCAAAAGCCAAAGACCATATGCTTCTAACCGGTTTTGGCTGGCCATTGGACTCGAGTTGTTCAAATATGACATCCCACTCCATGGGAATCAACTTTGATCGTAATATTCCTGCAAGCACAGTAATTGCCAGGGGTAGACCTGTTGATATATTGTGAACCTTTTTATAGTAACCCTTGCCTCCTATAAATCTGTGGAGGTTCTATTGTCCCAAAAACTCGTTGACAAAATAACTCCTCTCCATGTTTTTCATCAAGATAAGGAAGCTTAATGGAAGCTATCTGCGGGTCAATGTGATTGATTTCCTTCACATTGAGATGTGTGGTGAGTAAGATCTGGCTGCCATTGGCATTGGTATGTGGCAGCACGGCAAATAATGAGTTCCAGTCGCTAATGCTGACTAAACCATCAAGAACAACTAGGTACCTCCTGTTCTCAAGGTTCTGCCGAAGTTTGAATTCCATATCGGTGGTTTCTTCATTACCAGGTGCGAATGTTGTACTATCATTTTTCTCAGGAGCTTCTGGAACCTGTGAGCTGACCTGCATGTACATAATCTCAACGTAGTCCCTGAACCTGATATGTGGTGGAAGACATACCCATGCATGGACCTCAAAGTGTTTTATGATATCTGGGTCATTGTACAGCTTTTTTGCAAGTGTAGTCTTTCCAATGACACGCTCCCCCAAAATTGAGATGACAGCCCGGTGAGAAAAATCTCCCTCTTTGTTGATGATTAGGTCCTTAAGGATAGCAAATTCACTTTCTCTAGAGCTTATAACATATCTATCCTCATACCTGCAGAATGTTTCAGTCAGCTTTATTCAATATTGAGTCTATGAGTTTCAGCCCAAATTGCAAAGTTGCATACAACAAATAGGGGACTGACACATTATGTATTTCTAAAGGGCACTTTGCAATGGTACACTAAAAGGTTCATAATTCTCTGCAGGGACACATTGGAATGTGATCTTAGGCCTCACATTATTTTTATCAAACATGTGGAGATGTGTATCATTGTACTAACAAAAATAGGGAACGGTGCAAACAAATCTCTCACCTGCAAATGAGAGTGGGAAATTAGAACACAACACACAACCTATTCACCCTATGCTACATCAAGATTAATCATTGATCACTTGCGGCTTAAATTCTAGATGAACGGTCTCGACAACTTGGCTAGGCTGTCCATATGGCTCAAAGACCCTTTGCACCAGCAGAACAACTGGGGCTGGCTAACAGTTATCGATATAATACCTTTACATGATGCAGTTGTGTTCCATGCGGTCTAACACAATAAAGCGATTGGTAATTTGCCCACTCCCGAACATGGTAAAGGGGCCAATACACTCAACTCTTTAGCTCTTCTCACGGCTTGAAAGACTATCCCAATCATAACAGTCACCACTACATTCCAAGTTCCAATGCTTTAGAGACAGTATATATTGAATTAATGGTACCAAATCTACCAACAGGCCAGTATGTGTTCACCATGCAACATTTTTCGAAATGATACGCACCTAACTACTGCAGTAGTAGAGGAAAATGCACCTTTACAGTTTGATCACCTTAAACCAGAATCACAATATACATGTTGAAATGAAGTGCCAAACATTTGAACGCTAGAACTAGTAGATAGTAGGACGAAAAGATGTTGCCTCATTTGTTTTGGGAACATAAGATATTTCGCAGCACTACCTACATGTAGCAGTGAGGTGCACACACAGAAGAAAAGGAACAGGGAAAAACAGAAACAGAATAGGGACCACTTTAAATTGTGTACTGGAATGCAGGATAAGAAAAAAAAAGAGAGAGGCCAAATTAAAGTACAAAACGAGAAAAAGAAATGAAAACCAGATAGTAGTGTACCACTCAGGATCCACTTGAACTGATGATGAACTCCAAATTTCAGAAGGAGAACTTTCAATTTGATATGTTTCCTTGTTCTGGTTAAGTTCATCAATCCTTTCATTGATCTTAGATATTTGATTTGACAGCCCATGACGTACAAAAATCTGCCCAACATAGACATGCTAATTTGCAAACCATTAGCATAGAGATATGTGATGAACCTCAAATGTACTCACAGGGGTCACTAAACCAAACCAAAGCAGCAAATGCCTGGTTTCAAATAAAAATAGAAGGAGAGTCAAATTTCTTTAACCTTGACCAAGTTTATAGAAAAATATATTTTAAAAACATAATACCAAACAAACGCACTATCCAAACATATTTCATGGTGAATTTAATAAAACTAATTTGGTGTAACTTGGCCAAAGTTGTTAATTAATCTACTGCTCCCTTGTATGAACGCACAGCAGGGGAAGGCGGCGCCGAAAAGGCTCCCTGATGTGACACTGTAGCCACTGCAGGGGCAGGCGCCGAATGGCTCACCTGCCGCACTGTAGCCATAGGAGGGGCAAGCGCCAAAGTCAGACCTGCTGTCATATCTAGTCACTGTAGCAACAAGTTAGCCTGACATATCTGTGTACTAGGATTAGATGGTTAGAGTTGTATATATAGTTTGCCACTGTAACTCAGTAAAGAGAGCGAGTTTAGTTCCACCATCTCCTCTGCAAAGCTCCAGCCAACGTTGGTGCTTGTGCTGTGTGTGCTCTATTCTCCCTCTCATCTTCTACTTCTAACCATAGTGTGTGGTAGCCAACGACAGTTCGTGGTCGGCATCGCTAGTGTGTGCTCGGCAACACTAGTGAGTGGTCGGATAACTTCATGTCGGAGATCCAGATGTGACAAGTGGTATCAAAGCCATACCAGCGCCGTTGCCAGACTAACCGCTGGCAATGACGAACGGTTTGGAGATGGGCGACAGCAGCGGTGCTGCTTTTGCTGCCCAGCCATGACAGGAGGTCGTTGTGCGCACGGTGCGGGAGGTCAACGGCACCAGTTGGCCGACACTGACTCGCACCAACTATGGCGAGTGGTCGGTGACCATGAAGGTGAAGCTCAGAGCCCGACGGCTCTAGAATGCTGTTGACAAAGGCACCGAAAACAAAGAAGACGACATGTCAGCATTGGAGGCTATCCTTGCTGCTGTACCAGGGGAGTACAGAGAGCCATTGGGGGCGAAGAGCTCTGCTAAGGAAGCGTGGGAGGCAATTGTGGCGATGCGCGTCGGTTTCGACCGCGCAAACAAGGCAACGGCCCAGCTTCTGAAGCAGGAGTACGCCAACCTCAAGTTCAAGGATGGTGAATCGGTGGAGGACTTCTCCCTCCACCTGCATACGCTCATTAGCAAGTTGAGGAGCCATGGCATCACCATCAACGAAGAAGAGGCGGTCTCCAAGTACCTCCGCTCCATGCTGGTGAAGTACATCCAGATCGCTCTTTCCATAGAGACGATGCTGGACTTGTCCACCCTCACCATTGAGGATGTGACAGGCCGTCTGCGGGCAGTGGACGAGCGCATGGAGTAGGCCATGGCAATGAAGGACAGCGGCAAGCTGCTGGGCTGCCCAGAGGAACTCTGGGGAAGCCTCCTCCAACCAAGGTGGCGATGGCAAGCGCCGCGGCAAGGCTTCTTCAGAGAAAAAGAAGAAGGTCGACCCCAACGTCTGCCGGTGCTGCGGGAAGATGGGCCATTGGGTAAGGGACTGCCCAAATCACAAGCAGGAGAAGAAGGCTAAAGCTCATCTGCCGCAGGCTGATGATGATGATGAGGCCACTATCCTGATGATGGCGTTCTATGCACTGCACGACGTTGAGGCCGAGGAGAAGAAAGAGGTGATGGTGGTGGAAGGGTCTGGGAAGGCCCTGAAGGCTGTCAACCTCGACGAACCGCGCGCCGAAGTCCACCTCGGACATGTGGGCGGCGAGCAGGAGCAGCGGTGGTATCTGGACTCCGGTGCTAGCAACCACATGACAGGCTCCAAGGTAGCCTTCTCTGAGCTCGACAACGACGTTACCGGCGCGGTGAAGTTCGATGATGGCTCAAGGGTGGCAATCCGAGGGCGTGGCACCATCATCTTCAGGTGCTAGAACGGTGAGTACCGCGCGCTAATGGATGTATATTACATCCCGCAGCTATGATCGAGCATCATCAGCATTGGCCAGCTAGATGAGCGCGGTAGCGAGGTACTGATCAAGGACGGCGTCCTTAGGATCATGGACCGGGAGCAGCGCCTTCTTGCCAAGGTGAAGAGGTCCCAGAACCGGTTGTACCTGCTTGACTTAAAGGTGGAGCAGCCGGTGTGCCTGGTAGCACGACACATCGAGGAGTCGTGGCTATGGCATGCCCGGTTCGGCCATCTCAGTTTCGACGTGCTCGGTCGGCTGGAGAAGATGGTCCGAGGGCTACCCTACATCAAGCACAGAGGCGAGCTATGTAACAGCTGTCTGGCCGGGAAGTAGAGGAGGTTGTCACGCGGCCAAGTGTCACACGGCGAAAGCTCTCGAGCTCGTCCATGGCGATCTCTGCGGGCCGATCACGCCAGCCACAAACGATGGTCGGTGGTACTTCCTCCTGCTCATGGATGATTGTAGTCGCTAGATGTGGCTGCAACTCCTGACGAGCAAGGACGAGGCGGCGGCGGCGATCAAGAAGTTCAAGGCACGCGTGGAGGCAGAGAGCGGCAAGAAGCTTTGCGTGTTGAGGACTGATCGTGGTGGCGAATTCACTTCGGTGGACTTCGCTGCGTACTGCACGGATCAGGGTGTGGTGCGACACCACACCACGCCGTAGTCGCCACAACAGAATGGAGTGCTGGAGCGGCAGAACCAGACGGTGGTCGGCATGGCTCGATCCATGATGAAGGCCAAGGGTATGCCGGCAAGGTTCTGGGGTGAGGCGATGACCACGATGGTGTTCATCCTCAACTACGCACCCACCAAGGCCCTAAAGGGCAAGATGTCGTTCGAAGCTTGGTACGAGCGCAAGCCGAGCGTGTCCTTCCTCCGACATTCGGCTGCATCGACCACGTCGGGAAGACGAAGCCGGTCCTCACGAAACTGGAGTACAGGAGCACACCGATGGTGTTCCTAGGCTACGCGGAAGGTACCAAGGCGTACCTGCTCTACGACCCACGCGGAGACAAGGTGCTTGTCTCGCGCGATGTCGTGTTCGACGCGAAGCAAGGCGGCCTGGGACTGGAATAGTCCAAACATAGGGGAAGCTGGTAGCCAGCACCTTCGTCATCGAGCACTTGGTCATCCATGGTGGTGGAGACGCTGGAGAGGAGGTGCCGGTCACTCCAGCGACAGAGCCGAGCACTCCTAGGGCGGTGCCGAGAACTCCAGGAGGGTTGCCGAGCACTCCAGGACGGGTGCCGAACGCTCCCATAGCGGAGCCGAGCAGTCTTGCAGTGGTGCCGACCACTTCAAGACTGGTGCCGAGCACTCCTGCAGTGGTGTCGACCACTATAGGAGTGGTGATGAGCAGTCTAGAAGTAGTGACGATCACTGCAGCCGGGGTGCCGAGTACTCTAGGTGATGTGCAGACCACTCCAGCAGAACAAGGAAATCCATCGACGCTAATCGAGTTTGCCTCACCTCCAAGTGACATCACTGAGTTCGTGGATGCCTTCCACGATGGTGAGGAGGTGCGGTTCTGTAGGCTGGACGACATCATCGGTGGGACAGGGCCCTCAGGCCTGGTGGGTCAACTGCTCAATGACCCAGAGCTGCTTCTCGTTAGTGCAAAGGAACCACCCATGTTCGCGCTAGCCAAGCCCGATGGAAACTAGTGACGGGCGATGCTGGAGGAGATGAAGGCGATCGAAGAAAACGAGACTTGGGAGCTCGTCGATCCACCTTCAGGATGTTGTCCGATCGGCCTGAAGTGGGTGTACAAGGTCAAGCAGGACGAACATGGTGCCATTGTCAAGCACAAGGTGCGCCTCATCGCCCGAGGCTTTGTCTAGCATGAGGGCATCGACTTCGAAGAAGTCTTTGCGCTGGTAGCGCGCATGGAGTCTGTTCGACTACTTCTGGCTTTGGCAGCAGCGAAGGACTGGCGCGTCCATCACCTGGACGTAAAATCAGCCTTCCTCAATGGCGAGCTAGCGGAGACGGTCTTCATCAGGCAACCTCTGGATTTTGACGTCAAGGGAGCGGAGCACAGGGTGCTCCAACTGCACAAGGCGCTCTACAGGTTGCGGCAGGCCCCGCGAGCGTGGAACGCCAAGCTTGACGCCACGCTGGGCGAGCTTGGGTTCACACAGTGCGCAACCGAGCATGCGTTCTACATGCGGCGACGGGGAAGGAGGAGCTCGTCGGCGGCGTATATGTGGATGATTTGATCGTCACCGGCGCGCGTGCGGAGGACATCGACAGCTTCAAGCATGAGATGGCTGCTCGTTTTCGAATGAGCGATCTCGGTGCGCTCTCCTACTACCTCGGCATCGAGGTGAGACAGGGGAAGGAGGCGCTCACGCTCGGTCAGAGCATGTATGCCTCGAAGCTGTTGGAGCGGAGCGGCATGGCTGAGTGCAAGCCATACGTGACTCTGATGGAGGAGCGGCTGAAGCTGACGAAGGCCAGTAACACGGCGAAGGTAGATGCAACACTCTACCAGAGCATTGGCGGCGGTCTGTGCTACCTAGTCCACACGAGGCCGGATATTGCGTTCGTCGTGGGCTACGTCAGCTGTTTCATGGAGGATCCTCGAGAGGATCATTGGGCTGCGGTGAAGCGGCTACTGCGCTACGTCAAGGGGACGGTGGATTAAGGGATCGTCTTCCCCAAGATCGGTGGAAGTAGGCTACAGCTCACTGTGTTCAGTGATGCAGACATGACGGGGGACATCAACGGACGGCAGAGCACCTCTGGCGTGCTCGTCTTTCTCGGGTCGGCTCCAATTTCATGGTTGTCGCTGAAATATAAGGTGGTGGCACTGTCCACGTGCGAGGTAGAGTACGTGGCGACGGCCACAGCGGCGTGCCAAGCTATGTGGCTGCACCGGCTGCTGGGCGAGTTGACCGGGGTGGAAGCTCACCCACCAGCACTGATGGTAGAGAACCAGCCCGCCATCGCCCTCGTGAAGAATCTGGTCCTCCACGACCGGAGCAAGCACATCGACGTCAAGTTCCACTTCCTCAGGGACTGTGTCGATGGAGGGCAGATCGTCATCGAGTTCGTCGAAACTGGTCGGCAACTCGCGGACATCCTCACCAAGCTGCTCGGCCGTCTTGGGTTCACGGAGCTGAAGGAGATGATCGGCATAGAGGGGGTTTAAGGGTTCGCAGCAGAATTAGGGAAAGAATTATTAACTAATCTACTGCTCCCTTGTGTGAACGCACAACAGGGGAAGGCGCCGCCGAAAAGGCTCCCTACCGTGACACTGTAGCACTGCAGGGGCAGGCACCGAACGGCTCAACTGCCGCATAGCCACAGCAGGGGCAGGCGCCGAAGTCAGCCCTGCTATCACATCTAGTCACTGTAGCAACATGTTAGCCTGACATGTCTGTGTGCTAGGATTAGATGGTTAGAGTTGTATATATAGTTTGCCACTGCAACTCAGTAAAGCGAGCGAGTTCAGTTCCGCCATCTCCTCTGCAGAGCTCCAGCCAACGCTGGTGCTTGTGCTATGTGTGTGCTCTGTTCTCCCTCCCGTCTTCTACCTCTAACCATAGTGTGTGGTAACCAACGACAGTTTGTGGTCGGCATTGCTAGTATGTGCTCGGCAACACTAGTGAGTGGTCAGATAACTCCGTGGCGGAGATCCAGAGGTGACGGAAGTTTGACTAACAAAACTTAAATGACTTGCACTTTGGACCGGAGAGAATACACATTTATTTGCCTAAAAGATCAGAAGGTCTTTAATGACGTACTGATTGGAAAAGAAGAGCTAAATTGTGGAGCAAGAATCTCAGAAAATAGAGGTGTGTCAAACAACAGTAGCTGACACCCAATGGGCACTAAGCATGTCTGACAACAGAAACTAACTAGGGATGTTATCCGTAGGCTAAAAATCAAAAGTTTGGTATTGGCCACGCAAGTGTTAATTTCAGAATAAAACTCAAGTCCTGGATGAAGTAGCCACAGGCGTAATTTAATCACAGCATAGAATGGACACCAAGAAACACGTACCCCCGACCCATCAATGTTTTGTAATAAGCATATATTTCCCTTTATAAATCCATGTATATGTATTTTTTTTCCTTTTCTGCATTGATGGATTTCAAGAAGAATGCACCATAACCAATCATCTAAACATGAATATAGATTAGTACAAGGACATATACGAGATGTCTACAGCGATGTGTAATGCCACGGTGATGGACATCTTTGCCAAGAGACTAGAGGTTCAGTAATAGAATATGTCTCTGAAACTACTGTCATGCCTTGTTGTTCAGGAGATGCAAAGTTTCGTTTTGTGTTTCTTAATTTCTATTATTAGACGAGTTTCGTTGGTGCTGATAAGTGATGTCATGATACTACACCGCAGTTGACTCAGAATGAGCACCTGCGTGGCGAGGGCATGGACGAGGCTGACGGCGTCGCAGTGCCATCCCCACCACCATCTGCGGCGCCGGCGCCACCGGGCCCCGAGGCGGCAGGCCTCGACGCGGAGGTGAAACTCATCGACAGCGTCCTCGACCTCGAAGGCGACCTCCCTGGTCTCGCGCAGCCAGAGAAGGAGCAGCTCGCTTGCGCGGCCGCGGCGCTGGCGGTCGGCCCCGCGGACGAGCGCCTGCAGGTAGGCCAGCTTCCGCCGGCGCAGCGCCCGGATCTCGGCGTCCACGCGCAGCAGCGCCGTTGCCTCCTCCGCCGCCAGCTCACCCAGCTTGGCCACCACCCCCGTCACCCCGACGTCCGCCATGCCTGCCGGCTGCCGCCGGGACCCGGTGCGGCCGGGTGCCCGCCTCTGGTCTGAAAGACTGAAACTGTCAGACTCACAGTGAAGTAAAGTTTGGTTGGTAACGACTGACGAGCTTCAATCATTGTATTGGACCAGCAGGTAACCAAGAGCAACTCCGAGTTTCCTAATTTTTCCTCCTAAAAACACCATGTTTTTAAACTCTAAAAAAAATTAGGAGAAAAAAAGAAGTTCATCACTGATAGTACCCAATATTTCACTCTAAAAAATTAAAATTTAATCCCACTTGAGTATTTTTTTCGGCAATTTTTTTCCGCGGAAGAGTCTTCGACACCGCCGCCGCCGCTCCTTCTTCCTTCCTTCGTCGCCCTAGCGCCGTGCAGTTCCAGCCGGCCATGGCCACCTCCCAGCCACAGGCCGCCGGCCACCAGTCAGGCAGCTAGCCATCAGCGGAGCAGCAGTATTTACCGGCCAGTAGCAGTTCAGTACCATCAGCTACCATTAGCAGAGCACAGTACCATGAAGCGGCCAGCAGAGCGCAATAGCATGCAGGCAAGCAGTAGCACAGTACCATGCAGCAGGCAAGTAGTCCAATGCAAAAAAAAAGTTGCTGGCTACCGGCCACCAGCAGACGAAGATGGCGCGTAGATGGTGTAGTTCTTCATCCGCTGGAAGATGGCGCGGCTGGTCAGCACGGCGCTGATGATGACGCTCAGGCCGGGCTCCGTGAGCACGATGTCCGACGCGCCCCGCGCCGCATCCGTCGCGTCCGCCACCGCGATCCCGATGTCCACCTTCTTCAGCGTCGGCGCGTCGTTCACGCCGTCGCCCGTCATCCCGCAGATGTGCTTCCGCTCCTGCAGCCGTATCCGCGCGAGCTCGGAAAGAAGGGAGCCGCGGCAAAATAAATTGCGGGAAGAAGGATGCCGCGCGGGAAAGCCGTGTCCGCGAGCTCGCAATCGCGTAAAGTTACGCGGAATTGGGCAAAATTTATCAAGTGCGTAAACTTTAGGATGAAGTATGAGAAGTCGTTGGAGAGGGTGTTTTTTCTCATTTTTCTAAAAAATAAGAATTAGAAGGTGGTTTAGCGAATATTTGGAGATGCTCTAAGGCCTTGTTTAGTTCCTCTACCTAAAGTTTATTTTCTATCCCATCGAATGTTTGGACACATGCATAGATTATTAAATATAAAATAAAAAATAACTAATTATATAGTTTGTGACTAATTTGCGAGACGAATCGTTTAAGCATAATTAGTCCATGATTTGACAATGTGGTGCTACAGTAACATATGTGCTAATGATGAATTAATTAGGCTTAATAAATTTGTCTCACGGATTACTGACGGATTCTATAATTTGTTTTTTTATTAGTATCCGAACACCCCATGCAACACTCCCATTTAACACCCAATGTAACACCACAAAACTTTACACCCTGAATTTAAATAAAGCCTAATTTATTAAAAAAAATCTATTGTGTCGTATTCCGTGGCGACTAACACTCTTCACCAACCAAACACAACAACTTCAGCAGGTCCCAACTTGAGCCCCTATAACTAAATATGAGTGCCCATACAAAAAAAAACATCACTTCAGCAGGGCCCCTACTACTGACCTCATATTTGGCTGGACACCCAAATCATCCCTTGTGGGGGGTACGACCCCGGATACCCACGGAGGGCAGCCCAGCCCACAAGATGAAGCCTTGCGGGGCACGACGCTGCTCGGCGTCTCCCGCAAGACACCAGAAAGATATCCTGAAGATACTACGAGATCTGTTAGGATACGAATGATTCCATGATTCCTGTAATTTGTTATTACTTTTCTGTTATCTTTCAGATCTAACCGACTTGTAACCCTGCCCCGGACTATATAAGGCGGGCAGGGACCCCCTCTAAACTAACGCAATACCATACGATAGCCAATACAATTCAACAGAACACATGAGTAGGGTATTACGTCATACTGACGGCCTGAACCTGTCTAACTCGTGTGTCTCTGTTTCCTTCTTGTTCTTGATTACACGCATCTCTGCCGATCAATCTACCTTCGTGGGATACCCCTCGGAGGACTGTCGACGATATCCTGTCGACATCCCTCCAGACCACATTCCTATCGGCCCAACACCCAACACCCTGGCCCCCATCTTGCGCTGTGTCGGTTTCTCTCTCCCGCGCTCGTATGGATCCACCTTGCGCTCGCTCTACTCATTGCGACTCCTTCCTGCCATGCCGCCCCCACCAGCCGCGTGGGCCCACTCCTCCCGGTGCACCGCCCCAGCCTGCTCGATGCGGACGGCCATGGCCACTACTCGCGGAGGTGGAGACGGAGGCAGCGGACCACCTGCTCGTGGACGGCCATGGCGCACCAGCTCGCGGATGTGCTCGTCCCGGCCATGGCGCACTCCTCCCAGCGCGACTCCCTCCTGGCGCGTTGCCCCAGCCGTGCAGGCGCACTCCTCCTGGCGCGCCGCCCCAGCCTGCTCACAGGCGCGCTACTCCGCCGCGCCGGAGCGGCCTAGCCGCACCTCCCTGCTCGCGGCCCGGCCCCGGCCTGCTCGCCGCCCTGCTCAGGGCGTCAGGCGCCGACAGGGTCTGGCCGCTCCGCTCGTCCCCTGCCCTGTGTGTGGAGAGAGAGGATGAGGGAAAGCAGGGGCGGAGCTAGACCCTTTTATTGGGGTCAACTGACCCCTACAATTTTTGGGAAATCAATGCGACATGCAAAATCCCTGCTTACCATGTTGAAGACCCCGACGATGTTTTGTGCTAGCTTCGCCTATGAGGGGAAGAAAGGTTTGACTCAATGACACGTTTGTCCCCTATGTCATTATCTGTTGATATGGATTTTGGGGCTTTGGTTGGGGGCTGCTATTGAAGTGGAAGAAATTTGTTGGGCCAATAAAAGTAGGGGCAAGCACCAAAACCGAAAATGGAAACCTGATTTGCGGTCTATTGCTGAAGATGCTCTAACAAACAAACAAAAAGTTATAGCGATGGCCGATGGGAACCAAACTGGTAAATTTCGTGAGCCTGTGGTCGACATGTAGCCCTGCTAATGGATTGGGCTAGTTTAGTTGGAGTTATGATTTTTCAGGTTCCAGATACGTTCCCAACTCAGGGTTCGAATGGGTTCAGCGAATGGTTTGCCTCTACGCTCGACTCCACCTCGCTCACGACTTATCAAAAAAAAAACTCGCTCACGAGTGCATCGCCGCTGCCACCAGTTCACACGCGTACCGACACCACCGCCGGCGCCGCCCGCTCGTCAGTGAATGGTTTTAAGTGCAGTTCACTAGTGTTATGCATAATTCGGATTTAATAAGTATTGTATACTGATTACTACCTGCAACTATCATGGTGTGTCTGCTAGTTGTAGTACCTATTATAAGTCCTTTTCATAATCATGAGACTATTGTCAATCATGATAACTAAGGCTACATGCTTTTTCATAATCTACAACCTGGTTACTTGCTTTTTCTGTTTGCTTCTTCCATCTGCTAGCTAAGCTACTACCTGCAACTATATCATGGTCACTCTCACTGCTCTCACTCTCACTCTTGGTGAAATAGACTAGATGTGTTGCTGTGCCCAGCCACAGCTGCTTGCCTTTCTTGTAATGTACAGTGTTCCCTGATGATTGGGGGGTTAGTGTGCCGATGCTTTGTTCCAACTCTTTGCACTGTTTTTTCTTTCAAGGACTCAATCATCATCATGGCCAGTTCGTTGGCCATGTTCTACTTGGTGGCATCAACTGGAATACTGGATATGCTGAATTTAATTTTATTTGTTTTTCTTTGTATATTAATGCTGTGGCAAGTTGCATTGGCTAGTGTTTGGATCACTGCTAAACTATGCTACGACAAAATTTCCTTTTTTGGTTATATTATGGATACTTTCCCCTGGTAGATGGTTGACTTTGAAACGAAACAAAGCCTGAATTCTATCCTATTTTTTGTCCACCCTTTGTACTGTTGATGTTTTCATTCTTGTAATTTTTTATGTATATGTGCAGGAGGAACCATTCTTGATGTATATGTGCATCAGCTGGTCCAGCGTACACATCACATCGCACCACAACTATGTGCAAGTAATATGCTGCAACTTAGATCAGCAATAGCATGTTACATTTATTGTCAGAGTCATGGGTCACAAATTACAAGCAGCACTACAACAGGTCTTGAGTTGGAAGCAATGTGTTTCAATTATCTATTTATCCATGGCCTTGGTGTAGGTCTTGTAACTCTAAAACCAAAGTTGTGATGTGAATTTATGATCTGTGTTGAATTTTAAGTCTGAGCGAATTTGTTGAATTTTTCAAGGCTGAGTGATGCTCAACAGGCATTTTATGGGTTTTTTGGTGGCTATTACTCTGAACATTTTGTTTATTTAAGTGACCAATCTGCAGGACATGTACTTTCCATGTTTATTTTCTTTTTTACGTGCATTTTTAATGAACTTATTTACGTGTATTCCTATTTTTTTATTATCACCATGACTGTTCATTTATTTGGTTTGTGGAAAAGCCGCTGCCTTTTCTTGTCCATTGTTTGTAACTGTGTGTGTGTCACGATCGAACGCCAACAAACTGTGAGTTTGGAAAATGGTATCTAATGGATAGGACCAACGGGTTGCCAAATAAATTGGGTTTGTTTGACTTGACAGGAGATCACGGATTGGAGTAGTTTGGCTCCCGCAATGTTTGGGTTGATTTAGTGTGGTTGAGACAAAAGCTGCATGCGGAGACCAGGTTGGTGTGGGTATAGATTGGATTACGGCCCACTAGCAGGCAAGGAAGATGAATTTTTTCGGTGTCTTTTATAATAGTCCACACGGAATTCTCTCGAAAATTCCGTGTGCATTTTTAGAGCGAGCTGTTGGAAACTATTGTGATGGGGTTATTTTTTTCTTTTCTAATATTTATATTGAAAAAGGTTACAAAACTAGATTTTTTGAATTACTTTTTTTAGTTACTGCGTGACTCCAAAAGTTTCCAAAACTCACC